GCGTTCGCGTCGTGCGGTACGCGCCGCATCGCAAAGTGTATCGTACCGCGTTGAAAAACAATGAATGCGTCTCCTTATTTTCTTGGACTTCTAAATAAAAAATGCCCGCTGAGCGCTCGCAAAGCTTACTGCGAAGCGAACGCGTCACTTTACAAGCGAGAGATGCTTCGGCCTAATCCCGATTGAGATAGGCTGTACTTGTTTCTAAGTGAGGCGTGGGGCCTTCAGAGAAAACTCTTGTGATATGTATAAATTTTTATCGAGCTTGAGAACCTTGCACCGAACCGTAATTAATCTCTCTACAATTTTTGCATAACTCTCACCATGTATCCAGTTTTTGTAAAATGTTTGTCTACACTGAACAACTTTCACTTTTTAGGTTCCCATCAAACAGGTACTATCTCTTGTAAAATCTTCACTTGATGTCGATTAGGCAGCAGTTACCTTATAAACTGCTGGCTTATTAGTCTTATGCAAAACATGACCCTATAACAAGTGCTTTTCCACTTCGATGATAACGAACTTAGAAATTGTGTATGTGGAGAACTAGCTAAGATGAGGAGGTAAGCATTTTTGACTATCTTAGCATCTGTAGTCACATAAATGACAATGAGTCGAAATTCCAATCAAAATCAACAATCAGTTCATAGCCACTCGATTGTATTAAAATGAATATCACTAATAAAAGGACATTTTGAGAAGCGATCATGGTGTCCGTTTTCTCGTGTTTTTTTTTGAATGATGTCATGCGAACAGTTTTTGCAACGATGATGTGACGAGGTTTTGTTGGTGCCACTAAGCACATCTAATTAACCCGTTGTAGCCCTAATGCCCAAGGCTAATTTTTCGCTCATAAGAAACGGTCTTACAGCTCATGCGCAAATTGATCGATCGTCCATCCACTTACCCTCGGTCTACTGAGTTGGTACGCAAATTTTACACCAGAGCTTTTTATCAAATTCGTTCATTTAAAAAGTTTCGAAGAACTCAATCATGCCCATTTTAGTGGTGCTAGGAGCGAAATTCGTTGTTAGCTTATGGCGGCGATACAAACTATCACATAACATTCGACCAATTTTTTCATTGGGCTGTCAAAAATGGTAAATGGTCCAAACAGACATAAACAATAGTGTCCTCATATCCTACGCTTTTGAATCCTAATTTTATTATTTTTCAATCATTTTAAAACATAATTTTTCAATCTGGTGATCCGATGTTCATAGAAATACTGAAGAATTTTAGAGTTTTTTTAAATCTATTTCTATAAGTGTGTTTCAAATCAATCAATCCTATTTTGGTCATGAACTACCCCACTCATTAAACATAACGAAGAGTATATTGTATACTATAATTAGTTCATTTGATAAATTTCAAATAAATTCTTTATTTGATGCAAAACTTAAACTACCTCACAGTTTCTGAAATTTCAACGGAAGAAACCTATATTTACGCAGCGAGATATTGATAACCTTTCCATGCTTTGTTAAACAGTAAGCCTGCCTTTTTTTGCGAAATCAATCTGCACCCATGGCTATATGGTCCCCTCTTTCAAAAATAGAATCTTGATTACAGAGTTCGTGAAACTTAGAAGAACCCTTCAGCGCTTGTTTCTCCGTTGAGAAGAGTTTCCTGAGAACGCGGTTTGTTATTGTTTTTGTCATTCAGGAACCGTCAGCATGGCAGCGAGCGATTCTTGGTATCTAGCATTTCCTGCACTTTCCAGATGGGCGCGAACTCGCAGTGTTTTGCAATTACTGGAATTGCTCAAGCTCTCTTCTCGAATTTTCCTCACACATATACTGAGCGCAACTAATTTCTCTTTCTATATTCCCACATTTTTGAAAATTGTAGAGCAACTCGGCAGGAAATTTACAAATTCTCATTTTAAGTGAAGTATGAAGTAAGGGGCGGTCGGGCAGGAGGCAGCAAAGGCAAGCCGCTTCTGCTCTTCCACCTGGAGAACTTCAGACTTTCTCGCGCCTCTAATTACTTCTTCGCACTTCTAATTACTTGATATGACCTATGCCAAATTGATCGTTGATTTCAAGCGTGGCAAGTTTAAGATAGCTTTTTTGTTTTGAATTTATAGCAAATAAAATAACAAGTTCAAAAAGGACTCATAGATAGCCATTCAACGTCAAATGATTTGAAGGTATGAATTGGTCTAGTCCATCTTCAAAACAGAATCTCAATTGTGAATCTCAATCCCAACAGTAAATCTTTCTCAGTTATTCCGATCGAAGACAAGGACTTTGAAGACTAAATGTACTCGTCCTTTATTCTGCGGCAGAATCATTTCCCTCTGTTAAGAATTTTGGAGTAAAATGTTCTGAACCTATCATTTAAATAGGCTGAAAACGATTATAGCTGAGATTGAAAGAAATTGCAAGATTCTCAAATTGATCTAGACTGAGATACTCTTCAAAAAGATTTCCATTCAATCCTCTAGCTTGTAAAGTAATCAGAGGTGCGAAAAGTGATTAGAGGCGCGAGGAATCTGGAGCTCCCCAGGCACTTCCAGAAGCAAATGCGGTAAGCCTTTGCTGCCTCCTCCATGACGTCCGTAGTGAGGTGTTTTTCTGTTCGAGAGTATTGAGCATCAATCACTACGTCAAGATGATATCCAGCTTGTTTTCATCTACGTACTCGTTACGTATAATTTTCTGCGACTCTAGATAGCAAGGGTAGCAATAAATGTGAATACTGACGCACACCCTGAAGGCTTACAAGCTATAGTATTTTCCCATCAAACGTTTTTTTGGTCTGACATTCAGCATCTATGCGCTCGTTTTGTAGCTCTACATAACAAAGTTATCATTAAATCATCCACTTGTGGTTAGCTTCATTTTTTCTCTGAAGCTACCGCGCTGATACAGGATGCGCATTCACCATCTGCCCATTCAGTCGTTTGACCGCTGACTCTTGCAACTATATGTTCGTGCATATTGGCTTATTGAAAAAATAATCTAAATTCAATAATTTGGAAGGATAATCCAGATTTTGTAAGATGATGCAGGCCTCTTGGAAAAGACGAGCCTTAAATTAGTAAGCGGATGAAAAAGCGCTAGTTTGAATTCTCTATGCATGCGTCCTTGACTCTTTAACCGAATACGGAAAGTGCTATCTTTACGTCAAAGCAACACTGTGCATGTGCTAGCTCATTATACGTCCACTTTCACTAGCATACTATGGAATTTCTTCTAAGAATGTTTTCTGAGCAACCGCACTTTTTTCGGACTTTATTTAAGGGCTTCAAAGTGTGACATTGTAAGAGTTTCATTCCAGTACATATCCGTTAGCTTCGGAAAGAGCAAGTAAAGTGCTGCGAATATCACCGCAATCATGTGAAACCTTTCATAAATAGTTGCAAGGAGTAGAACTTTTCCCTAACGTTAAGTCACCATATATTTTTGTATAATTGGCACTCATTTGTTTACGCGTGCTCAAAAATTTTGTATTTGTCAATTCAGTTATTTAAAGGCAGTGTCTCACCAAAGTTGAGGTCGCGGGGATCTTTACTTATTCTATTATAGGGACCTCTATATAGGCCAATGCAACAAGTCCCACTCAATTTGACCCCCTCTACGCTGAGAAAAATTCGCTTAAAGTGGTACGCGGAGAGCCAGTTGGTACGCGCGGACGACTCCTTTAGCCTCCCTTCTAACGCGTTTGAACATGTTCCTCCACTTGGCATCCACCTCACCCTGTTGCTGCCACTGTGGCAGAGGCTGAAGTTGGAAGGTACAACTCGTCCACGTTGCCTCCGCGGGGCCTCCAGAAAACGGGGTTTTTGGAAACTTCGTGCGATTTTAAGCCCATACAGTGCTAGACAGGGTCCTACAGGCTTGCAAAATGCAAAAATTTTGGCAACTAAATTTTGGTGAGACACTGCCTTTAACTTTCGCAGTAGTACGCTTAGTGAGTCATACAGTGATTACTGTTAATAAACTCATTCATCTAACAAGTGAAGCTTGTTTAGTCGAAGTGGCCTTTCCAAATGAGATGTACACCATATTAAAGTGCATAATACGCTGATTCCAAATCTGCCTTCCCTATCTGCAGAACGTTTATGGGCGAGGAGTTATGAGCGTTTATTTGAACCAAAAATTGAATGTGCATTTTGAATAAAGTGACTTTCTAAATTCTCAACAGCCCTCCAGTAATGCAACCAAGTGTGATATATTTTCTTTAGTTTAGAGCACTTCTTGAATAAAGTGCTTTGATGATTATCATTGTTCTATTGAGGAGCTAGAAAAAGTGTTATGGCTATTTATGTCCTACTTGCACATCCAATTTTTTGTTCCAATAAGCGCTCATAACTTCTTGTCCATAAGCGTTCTGCAGATAAGGGAGGCAGATTTGGAATCAGCATTTTATGCTCTTCAATATGGTATACATCGCGTCAAAAAGGCCACTTCGACTAAACATGCATTCCTTGTAACAAATATGAAAAAGAAAGCACATTTGATTTATTCAGAGATTTAACTCACACCCACTGACGAGGCAGAATTCAATCTTTTGATGATGGATCTCGTAAAGAACAGATGGCTGAGCAGCAGTAAAAACTAATCTCGTTTTTCTTGAGATGTGACACTTGTGCAAGAGGTGCTGAAGTTTTGTTTACAACTTCTTCAATTTGTTGTGACGCCTTGAGATTAGAAGAGTCCACTAGGAGTCCCTTCTCTATTCTGAATACTCAATTTTTTGCATGTTCCAGTCTTTAGTTTTACTCAGGAAGTTTCTGTACTTGAATATGAACATTTCTCTGAAGACAATTTGTGGCAACGCACTTTAAGTACGAATCTTCTGTTTATCCAGATATTGGCTACTAATACTTCCTGCTCTTCTGTATTTAGCAATCTGTTGTCGCAGGTTTTTCGTCTGTTTTTCTCGAATCTGATTTTCTGCTATGTGAAGCTGAAAAAGCAGTTACTCATTTCACTGTTCACTGTTCGTCGCTCCCACAACAACATTCTTTTTCCTATCATTTCTCATTGCAGATGCCAACTAACGACAGTCATGATGCCGATGGAATGCACTACGAACCTTCTGATCTCATTGTCACCGTCGTCTTCTCCTGTTATGTCCTTTACACGGCTGCGATTGTGATTGGAATTCCTTGCAATGCTTTCGTCCTGTATCGAATGTGTAGACTGTCGAAGAAGTGCTCAGACATGTACAGGTGGGGTTAAAACTTACCTAAGAATTAGGGTGTCTCATAATTTTTTTACCATTTTCAAATTCCCCATTCATCCTAGCATATGCTTGATAAATCGAACATTGTACACTTTTCGTAATTTTTTTTTCATGGCTAGAAATAAAGAAAGAATGAATGGCGTAAGTTGGAAAACTCCGCCCCTAGAAGTCCTGAGCTTCTTCCATACACGTGATCATATAGCTCATACATTTAGAAGTACGACCAGGTATTTGTATCCTTCGTAGGTGCCCCAGTTCTCGAGAAATGCTGATCTTTAAGCTAAAAACGGTGAAAAATTATGAGACACCCCAACAGATCCTGAAGTAAGTCGCGCACCATCATGGAAAAAAATTAAAATCAATATCATATGAACTTGTTTGATTCAATTTAATGATAGTAAATAATGTCTCCAGTGGTTCAACAGAAATTGATAAATAGGTGACAAAATGGCCTCCAATTTTGAAAACTGCTCAAAGGGTTTGATAGAACCTGCGTTGATTTTGGTTGAGCTGTATCTACAATATCCATATACTAAGGCTGTGCCAGCGCCATGCCAGCGCGATGGAACCTCGGCCGATCAATACGGGGCGGGTTGATTGCTTTCGCGGTGCGAGCGCGGTGCTAGCATGGTGCTGGCACGAATGCGACGCGCGTAGCTATATATTTTAGTTTTTTTACCCTTTTTTGACCAAGGCATATTCATGTCGATTGCATTTATCTACGAATATAATAATTTATGAGTTCAAGATTATTCTTTGATTTATTGCTTTTTTCAGTGTTAAAATTTGTTTTTGTGTATTGAAATACAACCTATATCTCAACGAAATCCAAAGTTAAGGGTGGACAAGTGTTTTACACAAATTTTTGGAATCTTGTTGCAAGACCTATGTTCCTTCTCACACTGTTTGTCCCTCATTATGTCAACAAGTGAAATGACCGTACTATTCTTTCAGCAATGGTGTAGGCCTATGTCTTTTCTTTATGGCCGTGGCTGACATTGGATCGTTGCTGTCGATTCTGGTCCACTATATCCTGAGCATTCACACAGAAACTCAGCTGGCTGCTGATTACATCGGAGTCGAGGGTGTGAACGCTGTTTGCAAGGTGATTCATGCGATTACTTGCCTATTTTAACCACATAAAAAAGAAATGTGATATTTTCGGAAGCCATCTTTTCAATGATCATGATGAGGAATCCACAAGAGACATAAGTAGCTATCTGATTATGTCGCTGTCTAGCGTGTTTTTGAAGGTTGAGAGATGATATTTTGAGGGATGGTTCTAAAAATGATATGGCAATTTATTCAAAAATTCAGATACTTACTCTCTTATCTCTTGCGGTTAAGCAATTCTGATAGGCAACTCAGTAATTCAATTTATCTCATCCACAAGCCAATCCTGTGTAGAGATCTCAGTTCAACTACCAATTTATGTAATTGCACCATTATAAAATAGGTAACGGTGCTGATTGCTGACGCTAAATCTATAATCATAAATGAAGAAATAATGTAAGGAAAAGCACAGCGGTAGCAGAAAAACAAAAGGACTTTTGTGATCTGAGGATGATGGCTGGCTAGTGCAAAACGCAACAGTGGCGCAGATACATTTAGGGCTGGGGGGAAGACACGGTACGCAATCTCACCTTACTTTTGCTATCGTACATGATAAAGGAACAGTATTTCGGTAGATGATCACTTAATAAGCACCCACAGTCAGTGAATGAAAATAAGCTTTTATAATTTTACTTTCGACTACAAAGCTGATTTATTTTCCCATGAGTTATTGATGCTAGAATTGAATGTGTTGTTTAATCCAAAATGGTAGGAATCTTTCAGATAGCCACTTTCTCGATGCATATCTCCACATTCGTGTCCATTTGGAGTTGGTTACTGATGTCAACACTCCGGTATCTGTCGGTGTACAAGCCGTTATTCTACATTCGCCTCTGGAAACTGCCGGTTAAGGTAATGCTTACCCTAGTTACTCTTTCCATTCATTCGTGACACATCACGATTCGAAAGTGATTTTTTAAGACTTCAACCATTGAAAAATACTCTTCCAATCAATCCAGCCATAATTCGCGTTCTTGGCATAATCTGCTCGTATGCGGACTATCTTGTAAGAACCTACATGGCAAAGTATTTCAGCGCAAAAAAATTTAATAAGGTATTGGAATTGCGCTGAACACGCTCGCATACGCATTTTTATGAGTTCATCCTTTTGCCTCAGCATTTGACCATTAAGAATGGCATATCAATTTCATCCTAGGCTTCTCCACTTTTATCACAGCTCCGCGGTTGAGGTGATGATTCGGCGGGAAGTTGTTTATTCCTGAATGTCAGAGGGCTCCGTACGTAAATAATCATCTTTCGTATTATGGTATGTTAATGTTCAACTTCTATCGCGGTATATTTTTTCAAACCCCATTAGCCTCATGTTAACTATTAAAGAACCTAAATCTGGGGAACCCTAACATCACAAGAGGACAGTAACCGCCCATGGTAGAGCATCGAGATATTTACTTCATCCAATCGCCATCAAAATGGTTATGCTTTCTATGCTTCAATAATTTCAAAAGAGGAATCGAACTTTCGCGAAGTTTGAGAAGTTATTCCGGGTTGAACTGTTTATAGCGTAAAGGACCCACAATACTTGGCCAGAAGTGCACAAATTCTTGTAAGTCTTTTTCTGCTGTCGCGATAATCACTTGTATGGTCGTCAGTTGGTTGCAGAAAAGAGTTATTAGCACACTCAAGACAATACGACCCACCGGTGGGTCGTACGTCTTCTGCCGTTTTGGACAATACGACCCACCGGTGGGTCGTAAGATTCCTGAAGCTCTAGCTTTGCCAGTATACGACGGAATTCTACGGGGTTCTGGCACATGATTGTGGACACCTTGGCGAAGCTCCAGCCAGAATGGTCCGGGTTCGGGATACTGTAAAGTAATATTACGTTAGGTATACCGTAGATAGAGGTAAGGCACAGATTTTAGCTCAAATTTTTCGCAGAGTGGTGCTGTTTTGCAAAATCAAGTTTCATGCACGAGAAACACAGGGAGGGCACGAGACTGATGTCAGCCCATCAAAAATTACCGATTTTATTGATTTTCGATTTAATTGATTTTTGGCGTTGTTCATCCCAGGAAGCTCAAACGTTACATGTATAGGTTTTTTAGCATGCTGATTACGAAACTAATAGTCTCAAATTCTAATACCGCCTTCTTACAACAGTTTCTTGATTCTTACGAAAATTCTACCGTACTGCTACCGTAGTCCCACTGTTATGAGAGTGAACAAAGTGGGCACTACATTCGTGATCAGCACCTGTATTAACCCCAAAACATAATTTTCCACGAAAATCCATGATGTTAGGTTCGTACAGAATGACTACCGTAAACTTACCGAATACTGCCGAAAACTGAAATAAATCATATTTTGGTAATCAGCGCCTTCGATAGCCCTTGAAATCCTCGGAGATATGTATTAAATTTCTTCCAAAAAGGCTACCATTTCGGACAGTACGACTCACGGGTGGGTCGTAAATTTGACAAAGCGAAAAAGACTTTGGTCCGAAACTGCAGTAATCGAAGAATCGGCCTTGTCGTGATGTTAAGGCATTTTGAAAGATTGCAGTAATAAGGTGGCCCATATCACATGATATGACAATACTATCAAACTCATACCAGGTTCGGTGTAGTGCTGCAACGAGTGCAGAATGCATTTAAAGTCTAAGTCCCTTGCCCAAATTTCGCACTTTGAAGAAGGAGCAGGGCAATGAAACTGGTATCAGTTAAATATTGGAGAAAACGATCTTTTCACTATTCGTATTTATGTGTATTATGTCCATAAATAGCATGCTTATGTAGGACAATCCACTGTCATTATTCACAGAAATACGGAAAAGCAGAGGCTATTTAGGGCTCTTTAATAATGTCCTTGATTTGCGTTCTCTATCATTTCATCTGTTTTTCACAGCAAAAAGATCGAGACATCCGCACAGAACATAACTGTCAATATGGTTGAGGCATTCAGATTAGCTAAATTGATAAGTAACAAAATCACTCTTTTGGAAGGCATTCTGAAACCTTGCTATCGTTAATAGCAATCTGAACTTTACTGTGTGGTCAATCCAGCTTTCATCTTCTTTTCTGGATTGTATTTTGATTCTGCGGTGGTTTGCATAAATTTGAACAAATTCAGGTGATGTGCGTAGTTGTATGCGTCGCTGTTCTGTGTAATGCTTGGCTTCTTGTATCAGTAGAAAATGATCCATCTGTGAGTTTGTGAACTGCCACTTTTCTGTAGTATCATGGCGATAATTTTGCGAATTTTTGTCTTGCAGGGTGGATGCACGACGCGTTCACTTTTCAACTCACAACTAGTGAACAAGATTTTCCTCCTTATAGAGATTGTCTGGTAAGTAAATTAGGTTATTTCATGAATTTAATGGACTAGGTCAATTTCATGAATTCAATGGACTTTTGCAGCTCATTTGTGATTCCAACCCTCACTATCGTTTATGTTGACGCTTCCGTCCTTTTTGGCCTTTACTTCAGAATGGATGTCACCAAGCCACAAGAGCCAGATCTACGACGGAACTTCTCACCTCGCTCACAGGTACTAAAAATTAATTTTGATAATTCTGGTCAGTGTAGTATATTCAAAACTATGGTCTGCAAAGCTGACTATTAAACTTCTGATCCTGCGCAACGTTCTCAAATTGCCGCATACTACAAATTAGACTACATTAGCGCATACGCAGTGGGGTTTAGGCAGCTTTTCGTTAGAACTTTGGAAAATTAAATCAATTTTGCACAGAGAACAATGCATGATGCCGCCAATCATTTCAAAAAAATCTGAGAGACTTTGGAAGAAGAAGTTACGAGCATTTTTAGTCCTGTGCTTTTAATCATGATTAGACTACCACTAATTGTTAAAGTGCGAGCCATTTGCACTTCCTTCTGGAAATGTGAAAGATAACGAGCGAGGAAAGCAGCAAAAGTGGTGTTTCAGTGGAGCTGTAGCTGTTGCATGGTAATACGGCTTAAATCGAGAAAATCTACGATTTCTCAGAAATTAACACCATTGATTATTTGGAAAGTTTGTCACGAAACAGAAATACAGAAATGTCACAGAGATTACATTATTTGAAATAATTTCTCAGAACTCTTCTCGCTCACAACTTGTCAAATCGTCGTGTAGCAAGATCAATGAGTTTTGTAAACTCGTCAATATGGATGACTGGGTGTCGATAGGTTGTCAATAATATCGCAATTCGTACTCAAGAAGCACTTCTGAGAAATGAAAAACTTGAGCGTCTAGGGGTGTGAGAGCAAGTCAAGATTAAATATCGTAGCAGACGAGGCTGCTTCTTCTTTGATACCAAAAGAGTCACAGTCAATAAGAGTGCACCTTATTCAGTCAGGTGAGATAAATGCGAGTTTTGTCGGAGATGAAGGCGTCAATGCCTGAGAATTCTGCGCGGTAAGCTCAAAGTCGATTTGTTGAATGAAATATTAACTTGAGTCAATCTTAAAAGCAAGCTCTGCAATATTTTCCTCTATGTCCCTTATTTCAGCGAAACTCTTCTTATCTCTGGCGATGGCTTATCATCGCACTCATCGACGTCGGCCTCAATGCACCAGAAAACCTCTCTAGATTGGCTTTGATACTGGGGATTATAAAGTATAGCGAGAGCGAGATGTTCTATATTTACAGAATCGTTGCTCAGGTTAGTAGCGGGAAATTGGAGCTAAAGATTCCTGCGAAGAATCTGAGATATTTCAGGTGCCTTACTATCTTCAATTTGGCTTCAATGGTGTATACCTAGCGCTGTTCATCTATGATAAATCGACTCGTCCGGCCAGGAGACGAGTCTTCGGAAGTGTGAGCATGGACACACACCATCTCTCAGAACGACAGCGTGAAGCACAAGGTTAGTATAGTCGGAGTATAGCAGTGAAAAAATGAGAGAGGGGGGTCTCGAAGAGGGAGGAGGATACTTCTACGAAATTTTTTCGATCACAAGCTAGCTCATCGAGCTTCACCTCTTCCGAATGACTTGTGTGATACTTCTAAATCTTTACCGATAACCATAATAGTCAAAATGAGTAGCCTAAGAAAGATCCCGAATAACGCCTAAAGGCTTATTCAAGTTTTAGGTCTAAAAATGTCCTAATCAATGTGTGTAAGAGTTATTTGAGCAATCATCACACTTAGCCGCTTATAAATTCGCTACTTTAGAGAATGGGGACGCAATTTCGTCCCCGCCGTTCTCCCAACAAGACAAACAGTTACAAGTCTCTTGTATGTCGATCATCTTGCATTTCGGTTGTGATAGTTCTACAAAACGACCAGTCGTGGCTAACTATCACGACCGAAATGCAAGATGATAGACATGCAATGGACTTGTAACTGTTTGTCTTGTTGGGCGAATCGCGGCGATGAAATCGCGTGAACTCTGCCCAAGTAATAAAGAATAAATCCGATTGCCTTTTTGGTAACTTAAATTTATTGACTTCATCTGTAATTTTAGGTTTGGTTGGCCAAGATCAGTCTCTTTGTGATTCTGGAATCGAGGACGAGCCATGTCGGGTATGAGACTTCTACAAGATTGTTACTGGGTCGATTTCCAGCTATCAGATTACATTGATCTCATATGTTACGGATATATTGCTTTCTAATGACATAGATCTCGACTTTTTCTGGAAACTTTTTGTTTGTGATGATATGTCTAAATGTTTTCTTGGAAGCTTCCCAACACTGATTGGATCACATATTAGCAATTGTGTATATACATATTGATCAGGAAGAGCGCCGAATAAATGTTCCTTGGCGCCGCAGGATGAATAGTAAGGGCGAATATGTGGGTCATAGAGGTGGAAGAATGAATGCACAATAAGTTCCGGCAACGTTGTGCGCTGGAGACTTATACATTCACAATATCCGATCTTCATCATTTGGCGGAGACCTTTAGTTTTGCTTCTGTTGAGCTTTCCATTATGATTACAGAGTATGGAAAAAAATACTGTCCCTCCAAATAAAGTTTAGAAAATCGGCGTAATTTACAGGTTTTTCTGGTGAATTTGACTAATTCCCTAGATGTGAACATATTCTAGCATTTTACAAAAACTAGCTTCAAAATTGTACAATTCCACCCGGCGGCGGAACCCTTCTCGCAGCGCATCTCATATCAAATCTTGCCACTCCACTTTACAAATGTGAAGAAGTGTGAGGATTTTTAGGAATTTTTTTTTGTTTTCACGCGAACTTGAGAAATCCTCTACTGCTTAAGGAGTGTGATAGTGGATTCCGAAATATGCTGAAAGTAGCTAGTCAGTATGTGCACTAGGAAAAAAGCTGTGAATTTTTCTAACGAGAAAGTGGCTGCGGAGCAACAGAATGCGATCAGAAAACGTGGCACAGAAACTAGGTATAATCGTTTATCGCTCCAGTCGTGATGTAGACAAAGTCCGATGCTCTTTTCATCATTCCTGTTACTTTTTATTGGAATCTGGAATTTCGAATCATACTTTGAATCCAATTCATTAAGCAAGCGCAGTCATGATTCGCCTCTTTTCAAGAATTTTTGCGATCTGCGTGTGATATAATCTTCCTTATTTGACCAAAAAAAGAATCACAAATCTATAATTCTGTAATCGGTATGGATTATTGGAGAAGAGGTCATGCGCTACACACCAGCTCAATTTGAACTTTATATCAATGCAGGTAGTATAGTTACGGTTCAAAATCGCGGTGCTATCGGCGCATCGTTAGTGTTCTTGCGCGCTGTTATCACTCGTTCAATGGGACAAAAGGGAACAATTTTGAATCAAACTTATCTTTATCTGATCTCAAGGATCTCGCCTACGTATGGGAATCAAAAAACTACGAATCTGCTTTATGTTTGAGGTATTTCACTAGCCAAGCTGGAGGCAGTACTTTTTCCGCACCATATAAATCAAAGAATTACAAAAAAGAAGCTGTAAAGCGATCCACGAATCAAAATCGAAGACTGCACTTCTTTTCCGTGCGGTATATTTGCCTGCTTTAGTTTTGACACTAATCTTTTTGGAACTCGGCCTGAATGTGGTCTTCCAAAATCATCGCTAGACTCCTTCTACCAGGTGCACAGGATCGGCGCATTGGCTTGCTGTTATAGAGCTATCTCAGTACACAGTATGGTCACTAATTTTTTGAAGGGAAGTGAGTACGGTTCTATTATGTTGGTCCATAAGTCTGGCACCAACGTTTTTGAAAAATTGTAACTCCATGGATTCCAAAAATTTCGTACAAATTGAAAGGAAAATCATACGCTACCGTTGAATACGAGCTGATAAACGAAATGCCTACATTGTATTTTTGAATCCTAGTCGCTGAAAATGATGGAATGTCTCATCTTATTTCAACATCGCTTCACGATCTACTCTTTTCGGACGAAGGGAGTTCTTGCTGATAATGTCCCTTGGGTAGCTTCGATTTTCTGGTCATTTCCAATCGACCTAATGATTTCGTTTCGAATCATTCTCTAGTATGTGTATTGAGATAGAACATTGATTATATTTCATTAAATCACTAAAATAAATCGAAACAATCAGCTGAGTATCTTGCTACAAAACTCAGTAACCCTATTAGCATCGGCGGACACAGTGGCAGTCTGTGGAAGTTAGTTCATTTCCTTTCCCAGTCGCCGCTTTTGTTAACGAATTTATTGGAATCTTTTTTGCCAACAGGTTTTCTGAATTTTGAACAAATTAACTCTGAGTGAGAACATGTGAAAAAATGTTTACGCCATGCTGTTGCGTCGCGAATGTGTACATAATGATAGGAGCATCAAACAATGGAACTTTTGCAAGAGAGTGGAGAGTCGGAAAGCAGGAGAAGACAAGAACGTAATGGTTATGCTTGAACAAGGAGGTTATATTTATGACTATCTTGTTTGTTGTCAGTGATTCTAACATATGCTAAATGTGTTTTGTTGGCGGGTTGACAACATTGCTTTCATTGTTAAATGGTAATTATGTTTGCTAATCGAATTACCTTTTAAATTCTGGTGTTAGACCATTTTATAGAAAGTACTATATTCTATAGAATTATGCATACATATGATGGGCTATCAAGTTCGAATCTCAGTAATTTCTCAGAGAAAAAATACCGAATGCTCGTGTAAGACCAGGCTAGTTGGAATAATCTGCAAAAGAACTGACAAGGAAAGCATACTAGGTAACCGTGACCATTTGAAATGCGATGTTTGCCATAAGATGCATCTCGAAACGCTGATTCTAATTCTGTGCTCGATATCTGCGAAACGACCTTTGAAGGGAGTTATGAACTTTTTTTGTAGAAAATTTGAGTACTTTCGAGTAGTTAAAAACCGAAGTTCCAGTTTACCATCTGAAGCTACTGAGGAGAGTCTTAGAAGGGGTACTGTTGTATTTGTACCTATACAAATCATATGCAGCATTCAAAGAAGAAAGAAAATTTTTTATTGCTGGTTTTGATTTTCTGCAGCGCAAATCATTATTGAAAAAATAATCTCAAATCCATCCAGGTTAGTTTCGTAGTTAAGGAAGACAGTATCCAAATCAGCGTTAAAAGCATTGAAGCATTAATTTTTTGATACGAATCATTACATGATTGTATGATTGGCCACGGTCAACAAGTATTATTTCCTTGTGATTAGAAAGTTACTGCTACAGAATTTCTTTCAGAAAGCAAGGCATAACTGATTTTTCCCAGTATCTTTCCAGTTAAGAGCAGTATGATATATGCAATTTTCCCTTTGATTGTAGCTCAAGTGCTCATTCGGACTGCATTGCCAGATGGGTACATTGAGGTCAAACTGTCTGCAATTGTTGCGACTTTCGCCCAATTTCAGCCATTCACATACTCTCACTCGTGCGAGTGCCCTCAAAGAATCGGAGCGCCATAAATAGTGCTCTTCTCACTTTCACATCTGACAAGTTCCTTCCAGATTTGCTCTTTGAAAGCAGTCCTCCATGTGAAAGCTGAAATTATTCATTTTGAATGAATTTCTGATTAGAAACTCTCATGAATCATTGTTTTCTCGCCCTGTGTTTTTTCCTTCATTTATGTTGGAGATCAAGGAGTATTTTTGGCATTATTGGCAGGCTAGAATTGATTAAGCTTTATCTATTAGGTTGTAAAGAAAGTTCCCGGGCATTTTTGGAAATTTCATTTTCAAACGCATTTTTTCGGCGTTCGGCCGGACTTTGACACCAAGTTTTTTATACTATTCAGTAGAGGGAAGCCTGAAGTTTTCTATACGCCTTCTAACTTTTATCGATGCCAAGACGTGTTTGAGCTGCACATCAAGAAGGGCAATCTTTTCAACCACAAAAATTTCACAATTTATCTTTTTACGGCCATTTTTTTGTGCAATTCAAAAAATTTCGTCCAAATCATAGGTGATCTGATTGGAAAGCCTGTAAACTTCTGATCTGCAACTGCACTCGAGTTTTGCGATTTGCGCTTAGAAATTACAAGCTGTCAAACCTGCCTGTGACTGCAATTCTTTTCGCAACTGGCGTCGCTTCTGCGGGGATCGCCACGCCTGGATGATGGGTCCAAAAGATGTGCAAGGCATTACCCCATCAATTTTGCCAGTAATCGTAGATGTGGTCCTTTCTGTGCAGAACTAGAAGACTACAAAGTCATTTACTCGAAAAATGGTGCATTTTTGGGGGCGAAAAATGGTCGATTTTTCAAATTTTCTGGGAAATTTTTTTGCAGCTGGTTCTTCAAAAATATGAATGGCCCCCATAACAGCCCAGCAGACCTCTATATAACTACAGCATTTGGGCTTTCCAGCTCTCATCCTGCCTGAGATAATCCTGCACAAATAGACCACTTTTCGCGACGACCTTTTTCCCTTCTGCGCATGCTGGTGGACCGCAGCGAGGTGCTGAGAAGCCAGCAAGACAAATATATGTTGTGGACAAAATTGTCTTTGCAATGAAATTTGTAGCTTGAAAAAAGAATCGATCTGCCTGAAGTTACAGCGATTTGGAAAAAAAATTTTGCAAATGCCCGCAAACTTTCTTTACAACCTAATAGTTTCGTAGTGGATTCGTTTGTAGCGAAGAAAGTTTTGCATTTGTAGCCATGAAAAGAAAAATGTGTGCTTGCATATCACAACAAATGCAGTAACCAATCATTAAATCTAAGAATGATGGGCAAGATCTTTGTTTGGAATAAACGTAAACATCAAGTCTCGTGTTACCCGTGTGTGGACAATGTCTCCTCCATACTCTCTGGAAAAGAAAACAAGGGGAATATTTGAAAATTGAGGTAGCAAGAGTTTTTGGAAAATTGTAGACTATTTGTGAACAGTGCTTCGATCGCAGAAAATAGGAACAAACGCTGCACCAAACTGATTACTGTTTGTCAATTTTACTCTGAGAGTTAATGTCCAGTCTAAAGTGAGCGTGCAGCACAGCAGTTGCCGATAGTAGCGTGCGGGTATAGTATAAGAACCACATGTCTCAAAGGTTTACAGATAGAATTGCAATCCATGCACTTTTTGCCATTTTCTGGTAGCTATGCATAACATACATACTACTTCGAAAGTATTGCTTAATTGCGCTACAAGTTCTTTCTGTTGCGCTATCTCAAATTTTGTTCTAGTTTCCCGGCAACAGCTAAAGGGCTGTAGAGCAGATTTAACGTCATGCTCCTCTTTCAACGAAGTCATTCAAGAGCAAACTAACTGCGGCATTACTACCTCAAGTCTGGGATATAAAAGCACTGTCCAACCAGATCCTCAACTTTCACGTTTTTGTCGTTTCGGGCCTTCTTATGCCGCTGATTCTGATTATGAAGTCGATAATCCGAATCCTCCTCCAGGAGAACCCGCACGGCGATCGTCCAGAACGGATAGGCGAGCACGAATGGGCGGGCATTACTGGAGGGGCGTTGCTGCCTTGGGTTCCTCTGCTCTTTTCGCTGTTCTGAAGCGATTTCTTCCGAAGCAACATTTTGCGCCACCACTTGGACATAAAAGTGGGCTCTACCATCGTTACCTGTGAATAAACGGGATTGGCGGCTGGGAGGCGGGATTTTGTGAACTAATTAAGGCCGCGCCAGGCTCGCGCTTGCGACGCAGTCTGCTTCTCTCTCGCACGCGTGCTATCTGATCATTCTCTAACCTTAACTAGGTCACGAAGCCCCGCCTTCCAACCGCCAATCCATTTGAATCAAGGGTATGTTGCCCAAAGCTCAACACGCTTATTATGAAAGGTGCCTTTTAAGATTCTAGTACGATGATGCTTAGCTTTCGATTGGTGCATGTGTACAGGTGTACAAGTCTAAAATATTCAGAGACCGAGATACAGAATTTTACAAAAAGACGGACTATATTGGAGAAAAGTTTAGCAGTTTAGACAGCACTTCAGCTGTCGGTTACGGATGTTATTGACAAACCTTTTCCGTATCAGAATTTGATAAAATAAACTGAGGAATGAAAACAACAGTAAGCAAAATTTTTACCAGAGAAATTGGTATGAAGATGTTAGAAAGAACAAAGATGCGTCTATGCTACTTGAATCGCTTACCATCCACCTATGATATTTGAAAAGTAAGCAAATCAAGACAACTTTTGGAACGCCCTTTGATGCTTATTTGAATTTTTTACTTTTACTGAAGCTGCTGAAGATGGAGTTTCAGTCAAATTTTGACAATAACATCTGGTGTTTCACAAATTGAGCACACATTTGACTTACCGTAGTGGGAGCGCTGCTATCTAACTTTGCTTCTGATAAATCATTCTCAAGAGTACAAGCGACTCATATCATTGTAGGGCCCATTCTTTATGCCTATGCTATCCCAGCGGTAGTCTATCAAAGATTGTTTTGTCAGCACTTTTACGGAACCGGAGAAACCTGTTCTTATGCGATTCACTGCAGAAAATTGGTATAATCTCTTGAACCAAGCAACTTCTACAAGCCTATATGGAGTGTACATTGTGCGCATCAATCATTCACTCTCTCTCTCCCTGTCAACAAAACATTCACTGCTCCAGATGTAGAAAGTAATTGATTGATTGATTTATATGAAGTGCAGAATTAGTCGAAAAGAACTTTACCATTACTTTCACGCGCTCTATTAGTACTACAAGACAGTTTCCGCACTTTTATGGATAGTTTGGAGTTTGTCAGAAAGTCCAGAGCACTTCTCACATCGGTTGACCTTGGCTGCAAACCATGTCATATCAGTCGGTTGATCAATAGGAGAACAAATATTGTTGGTGTCCATTTGGTATCGCTTCTAGCTCCCACAATGCCAACATTGCCTTCTTAGTATGTTGCTATTGTCTCCGTAACCACATTTGCTTCTGATTTTCTTCTTGCGCACAACTTTGATAATTCTCATTCTCACTATTCGCATCATTGATTATGACTCGTTAACAGGTAGTATATGTTCCCTCAGGTAAAGACTGAAAAATTCGGTTACTAATTTCATGGTTTATTCCTCATGAAAACAAAGCAGCAGCGCGTTCAACTCTAATCTTTCAACTTCAAATTGAAATCTCACGTGATATAATGCCATCTGCAAACGATGAATTATTTCGTGATTGTTGTCTCCATGTTTGTTTTCATATAAAAATTAGCGATCTATCGATTGCGTTCATATACCAAAAGAATCATTAAGAAAACACTTTCTGCAAGAAAGGTCTATGTTTCGAGCTTCTTATCGATCATAGTTTATCTCTGCTTTGTCAATTTTCTCGCTCTCAGATTTGCGGGTCTTGTCTAAACACATTACTTCCATTATTCTTGATATCTCGTGTATGATGGCATTTATCCATTCTTCATCATGTTGTTTGAACAAAATGCTTTATTCTTTGCGTTTTGTAAATGAGTCCAGGTTTGGTCATTGGCCTCATACCCTTTATGAATAAGCACATTGCGCACATATGGGTGCAGATCGAACCTGATTTCTGAACTTTTCCATCGGTTCGCTTTACAGCACAAATTCTCAATTGACGACTTTCACTGCCTATCAATCATTTTCGTCTTTCCTAACCTGTCACTATGATAGTTCTGCACTAAGGTGAGGTGCAGGAAAACGGCGTCGTTTTTCAGAGTGCGAAGGAAGAGGGTATAGAGAACTAAAAGTTACTTTAACTGACAAAGGGGGTACAAGGCATAGTGGCCCTTTCGCACGACATGGATATTGTTACGCTGTGTGGAACGCCCTAAACTGCCTTGGGATTATTGGCTTTGATCTGCGGGAAGGAACCTGGAAGGCCAGAGTGACCAGACCCATCACTGCCCGTGTATTTTGGGCTCATTTTGGTTGGTACATCCTGCCAATGTCTGCTATGATTCTGATTCATCTTTGGTTTATGATACAGTGCGCAACAAGTACTGAAACGATTTTCACAATCACACTAGGTCATCCTGAGCAATCCAGACTTTGGTGGTACAAATGACCGTAACTCCCAAACAGACTCGTTTTGCAGATACCAAGACAGTTTTGGAGTCAGCGTTGCAAGTTGTATTGAATATACAATACCGCTCAATTTTATTGAAAAAACGACGCAAAGTCGGCCCATGTAACATCACCGCATCGTGGCCATATCTCGCTTCAGAGTGGACGAATCCTTAATCCAAGGGCATCATTCGTCTCTGCTCGGCGAGGAGCATATTCTGACATATAGAAGTGCCTGTTTGGACACAGTAGAAGGCCGAATCCACGATTCGTTTCAGATTTTTGCTTACGGTAGTGGCTAGTGAGTGCAATAAATAAGCGCACTGAATAACCTACCGTAAACAAAAACCTGAAATTTGGGCCCCTTCCGTTTCCAAACAGGGTTTCTTATATCAAAAGATCGCCACGTCGAGCTGAGTTGAATGGTGCCCTTGGATTAAGAGGTTCACTCTGAGACAAGATATGGCCACGCTACGGTGAAGTCACATGAATCGGGCGACTCTGCGTTCTTTAAATACCAGCGGTACTGTGCACACATATCTCATGCGAAGACCACTACGAATTCTTGTAGATCCTTTCCCTATCTTTCCTTTATACAATCACGGTTTTTTGCAATGTGTACAAAATATTGAGGAAAGTAATATGTGATACAGACAGATGTCTTGAAGAATTCTAGGTAGTGTTAATTAACATAGAAGCTAGTTGATCCATCTCTATTCCATTGCACTGTCTCCATGCAGTTCATTTGGCATATGAATCAATTTGACACTATTTCTTGCTAAATTTACGCTTTGTGAATAAGCAAACAACACCTATAGATTGTCCACTGATTTTTTTTGAGATTTAACCAACTGTCCATTGAATATTTTTTGGAAATTTCTACCATGTGTTTTCTTGATTCTTTCTTCGAATTTACTGCTTTCATTGAGGGGCTTGAGAAAGCACCGCCATTCATGCTTCCCTCTTTCATTCCATCAACGAATTCTCAATCTTACGTTTTTTACCACGGGCTTTTTCACCCGTAGTCTTTGTTTTGGCGAAGACTATGCGAATCTATCGAAAGGAAAACTCACTGAAGAGTGATTTCAATGAGTGCAACGCATATACTAGGTCGATCCGAAAGTTCAAGCCGTATATTGGACTAGTCCTCAAACTCATAAAAATGATAGGCTTACACTTTATGCACTTTTTGACGATGATTTCGTCGCTCTTTCCCAATAGCTAAGTTTCTATTAACTTGCGCTAAGTAATTTACGATGTTTCCAACCCATTGCTTCTACCTAGTGCAACATTATTAATTTTCAAAAGTTTTATAACGTACTCTGAAGAAGCAGTAGCAAGAGTGGATTGGGAAAATCTTTTGCTTCTGCTTCTTTTTTCGCATCTTTGCTACAAATCACTTTCTAACATGGCCACATTACATGTTTGGTTTACCTAAAGGTTGTGGAACGCTCAAGTAAGCAATTCAGGCACTTTATTTCCTTCTTCATCTTACCTCCATTTTTTCTATTTTGTATGCAAATTTCGAAGGAAAATCACAGTATTTCTCAAATTTCAAGGTGAATAGGCCCGTGCGGGAAATTTCTGAATTCTCACATTTTAAAGCAGTAATTTCGCAGCTACTTTCCGAAATAGAATTGGTTATAATTAGGTTTGTAACCTTCAAATTCTGAGCTTTTACATCTATGTTGCCTCATAAACTCCATAGTTTTTGCAAAACTCATGTATTATATTTTCAAGAATCTTGAATGAAAATTTCTTGAAGGCTTGCTTGAGAAGCTGAAAAAGCATTGCATTATAAACTTTGCTATTTCTAGTGCATGATAAATTTCTTTGGGGACTAATCAAAAAGTTTGAAAATTACATATTTAAAAGCAAAAACCACGGGCTAGAAACATTATGGATTATTTGAGCGGGTGTCAAGAGATTCATTTAACAGCGTAGTTATTAGAAAGAGCATAAATCTGCATAAAACGTTTACGATACGATAGCTTATCTTCATTTTAGGAGATATGGATTAGCCTAAGCACGAACTCGAACCGACCTAATATTTCTTCTAAAGGGTTTAACAGTGAATTTGGATTTTTTTTCAGATGTGGGTCCTGGCCCTCGTCGTCGCTTTGTTCGGCGGTGTGGAATCGGCAAAAGTGCTTATAATGCCAAGCACTTTATATCCTATGCATGGCTATACGATGAAGTATCTTGCCGATGAGCTGGTGCGACGAAAACACGACGTCACATGGGTCGAGTATGGCCCAACTCAGGTGCAGTTACTTCACTTTCCTCTCATTTGGTCCCACAGTAGCAGAGGTACAAAAGGAAAGAGGTCGGCAACAGCTCAAGCCAGTGAGCTATATCTTGCCATAACCATCACTTAATTCTTCAAGAAAATTTTTTAGCCTTAGCGATTTATGGAGCACGGCGTTAAGAACTGTTATGCAACACTTTTGACACATCTGATTTTTTCCGCTACGAAATCGCCGTTTTATGACCTCTACAATTACAAGACCAAATTTTGTTTACAGTACGCAGTGCTGACAAAGGTCATCTAAGCACAGTTTACGGTGATGTAAGGGCGCTGATAATGCAAAAGCTTGCAATGGCAAGATTGCAGAAACCTGCGACATGGCTAAAATACATGCGACATTCCAGCAAAATGTACGAGTCAAATTCTCTGAACCAACTTATGAGGGAAACACGTTTAGTCGAAGTGGGCTTTTTTGGTATGTACACCATAATGGAGGGCATAAAATGCTGATTCTAAGTCTTCCTTTTCTATCTAAGTTATGAGCGTTTACTGGAGTAAAAAATCAAATGCGCTTTAAGGATAAAACGAGTTGCTAAAATCTCCCTAACCTCAAATAAAGCAATCGTGTACCCTATTTCAGGTGTATAAGCCGCACCCTTTTTGCTCCAAACGCGAGCAGACCCAGGCGTGCCGCCGCGCATATGTCTCGCGAAGCGGTCGCCTTATCGCATACTGCTCTCACTCAACGCGCTCCATATGACAGTCAGTCTTTTGGCGTGTTCGCCTTCGCTTACACGCCTGAAAATAGGGTAATATAACTTTTAACTAAGAGTATTTAATGAATAAGGTGCCCCTGATAGTCATCACTGCTCCACTGAAGAGTTGGAAAAAGTATAACGGCTATTTTTGTGCTAGTTGCACATTCAAATTTCTTCTACACTAAGAGAGAACTCTGGGATATGATAATACAGGAAATGCAGCAATTCAATCGTTGAGCAGAATACCGATTACCTGGAATATTCCGGCAGAAACAGAATTTTGTTTATAGTTGTGAGGGAATCGATAATCAGCCATGATTTGTAGCCCAAGGAAATTCTCATAGTACCACCGCTCATACATTCATCTTGCTGACTTTCGCTCCTTCTGAGACGTTAAATGCATCAAGCTTAAAGCACTTAAAGGCAGTAGGTTGGCAGAATGAGACCCGTGGCAAAACAAGGTCACAGGGTAGGAGCCCCCATAATGGAACCTATGGGCCAAAGTTCGATCTTTCTCTGCCACTTCTAACCCCCGAAATTTCAAAGCGAAAGTAGCGCTCATCTCCTGTCCTCTCCTAACCCGCCCACCCCATGGACGAGTGAACGCGAAGCCCGTCATGGCGAAGACGCAGAGTCGTTGCGGGACCTCATGCTTATAGCATTGCGGATGGCGCTCTGACCGCGGAAGTCACTCGGTGGGCGGGTTCGGAGAGGACAGGAGATGAGCGCTGCTTTCGCTTTGAAATTTCGGGGGTTAATAGTGGCAGAGAAAGATCGAACTTTGGCCCATAGGTTCCATTATGGGGCTCCTACCCTGTGACCTTGTTTTGCCACGGGTCTCATTCTGCCGACCCACTGCCTTCAAAGTTAACATGTTGAGATGATTGAAAGACTTTCGGTGTGCAATTGATGGAACTTTCGACAACCTTTCTCGGGTACAGACAAAAATATCTTAGTTTGTCCATTCGTAACCAAACCCTAAAAGCTATTGGTATGCGCAACAACTCAAAACTTGCTTTACCACCTCATTCAGTTGTGTTACTGTTTCACATGAGCGACATAACAGGTTTTGGCTTGTAACATCGTGTGCGCAATGTTTTAGTTTCTAAAACTCGACCACAGAAGCTTCTTTTTTTCTTTAAGTTAAAAGCTATTTTACTTTCAGTCTAAAACTTCCTTACTGAAGGGAGTGAAACGGATATACTGGCCAGTACAATTTGAAGATCAAACGCTGAATGACATTTTTGTCCACAAAAATCATTCTTCCCATAGCAGAGTAAGATTTCTCTTCTGTTGATATGCGGCAAGGATTATGGCATGGACGTTCAGATATGGGACCCAAACTTCGATCTTCCAAACGAGCAAACAACAGCATGGTTGGCTTCCACTAGGTTATGCGACAAAGTTCTGATCAAGCACAAGGCGAAATTCGATGAACTGGCTAAGGAAAGGTAAGCTCTTATGGATTTTTAGGTTTTAAATGCATGAAGTATTTAGATTTGATACGGTAGTGGTTGACGATCTGTACAATCCCTGCGGATTGCTTCAGGCTGCGTTGAAAAGTACCCTATTTCCAATTTGGCAACAATGTTCGAGAATAAAAAAGCTAATTACAGAGGCTGTCTATATCTACTGGAGCTTGACATCGATGAGGACCGAATCAGCCTGGGCCAATCAAAGTCCTTCTCCGCCAAGCTATTTGCCAGTACCGGGCACGAAGTGAGCTGGTGTTTCTTTTACAAAGCTCATGCGCAACAGTCCATTCAGACTCACGGATGAGCTCACGTTCTTCGAACGCACATTCAACTTGATTTCATATCTACGACAACTCTACATTCATCATCACATTGTTCTTCCCAGAATTGATGCCGTTTTCCAGGTAGGCCTGACTCATAAGCGCCCTTTTAAAGCAATATGAATGAAAAACAGTTGAGAGGTTGAATTGATATACAGTATCTATAGGTCATCATCGTTGAAAGTAAAAGTCGACCCAAGGGAACGAAACCAAGTCAGAATACCGGCAGTTTACTGCGGGATGAATATGTTATAAGAATTACAGGGTGTCCCAAAAGTCCTTAAGCCTAACTTTTCAACGTAGTAACTTTGTTAGTATTCCTCGCTTTTCAGCCAAATTTTGCCTTTGAATTCTTCGTCTAGTTGCCAATATTCGTCAAGAAAATCATACCGTTTACAGTGTACATTCTCGAGATATACTTCTTGAAGCGAACAATACTACAATCGTGAAGACAAGCCAAAGGAAACGCACCTTTTCAAATATTTACAGCTCTTTTGCCTTTGGAGCTCTTATGGACTTTCAAACTGCATATTGTAGAGCTAGCTTCACTCTACATTTACAGTGCAAAATCAATCAATAGCCTTCGTTCATTAGAGTAGGATTAGGATACAAACACTGAAGTTGTGCCGTGCCAATGAGAAGGAAAAGTTCTCGGAAACAAAAACCTGGAAAAGCTGGAAAGTCCAGCACCGAATCAGCTTCAGTCACTAATTCTAGCTGTAAGCCCTGTATTTCCTACTGAAATACCACTTTAAAGTCACTCCCGGTACACCGTAATGGCTGTTTTCTTGATGTTCTCAAACACTTGAATGCTACATTTTGACACTTTGTCAGATCTCACAGTTATGCTTCTCAGATTTATATGAAAATGTATTTATATAGTAGCTGCAGATGAACAAGGTACGACGACAAATCGTCCGCATTGTAATCTTCGTATTTTTCCTAAATCAATAGTTTCTTGGTACTACTTTCATTAGAGGGAGAAGCTCATGTGTTCTGTAATGGCATAACGACACTTTACTGAGGGGAAGAAGAGCTTGCTTCTGTAGAACAGCCAGGTTCAAGAGCGTCAACAACCAAAATCGGTAGTAAAGTTTTATACTCTTTGCGAAAAAAATAAAAATCGACTTGAGATTGGAGACTTTCATGAATAGCAGGTGTTTTCAAATAAAATGCGGAGAAATCAATTCAGCTGTTAGTATTGTTTTCTTCAACACCACTGCTCATAGAAAAATTCGATCCATATGGATTTTCTTAGGTAGAACGAAATTGTGAGAATGCTCAATCTCCTGGAGTTTTACTGCGACGTTTTTAGATTCATCGCAATCTTGCATTAGAAAAAACGAAAAACAATGAGCTTCTTGCTTTTTTATTTCTGCAACCTATGTCTAATAGAGAGCCACTAGGGTGCCCGTTACAAATCACATGGTTTTTGTCTTTAATGAAACTTATGACAGGCAAATATGTGAGGTGAAATTGAGTTACACTTTTTGGAGTTTTCCAACCACAAATTCCTTTTTTGCCGAAAATCACGCCTTGAAATACTAAAAATAGAGCTCTTGACCTAGAAGGAATTGTTAATTTCGAAAATGGTACTGATGATGACACTTTACAGAAACACTATCCTGGTGTTGAGACAGCCTTTGACATTGAGAGAAATGCTTCGATTAATTTCGTCAACAATCCACCCATCTTCGACTTTGCGCGACCTTATATGCCAAGGGTGAACTTTGTCGGAGGACTGCATTGTCACAATGCAACTGATCTTGGAGGGGTACGCAGAATTTTTTTTAAAGTGGCTATATTTTTGTAATGATGACATTCAGGCTCTGAAAGATTTTGTCAAAGCTGCAAATGACAAGGAAGGCTTTGTTTTGATCACGAGCGGCTTCACAGCTCAATGGAACAAAGCTTCTATGCGGATCAAGGTAACGTAGTCCCTTAGGGCCGTAGAAAAGGGTATACCAAAAACCTTAAGAACATCTTCCTCGACACCTTCCGAGCTCTACCGAATGTGCAATTTGTTTGGCAATACAACGGAAAGCCAATCGAAAACCTGCCCGAAAATGTGTTCGTACAGTCATGGCTACCACAGCAGGATCTTCTAGGTAAGTATGGAGATTTTCATCTGAACTGAGTTGTTCGAACTACACTGACTTTTTGAAGGCCATCCGAAATGTCGTACACATATTTCCCATGGTGGCATCAACAGTGTCATTGAGTCAGTCTGGCACGGTGTTCCAACAATTGGCATTCCGCTTACTGTAGCTGGTAAACCGCTACTTTCTTTTCTTGACGGTAGCCCTCCTCTCTCAGATATCCTCAAACTGTTTATGTGTAGGCCACGACAATCTTTTACGGATATCAGCAAGAAAGGCTGGACTGCTAATTCCTAAAACGGAGCTTACAAATGATAAGCTGGTTTGGGCGCTCAGTGAAATTCGAAAGAAAACGTAAGTAGCAAATTTGATTCTTCTTGTTATTTTGTAATATCACCGTTTCGAAATTCTAAGTGCCACGAAATCAGTTGAAACAGATCAGTTTCTTCTGATAGAGCCGGATTTGAGTTAATCTTACTGTCCCAAATCTATAAATGAAACATTCAGGTACAAAGAAGAGATGCTGGTATTCCAAGATATGTTACGCGATGTTCCATACACTGAGCTAACACATGCTGCATTTTGGGTAGAATTCATCGAGAGGCATCAAGAGGTTGGTGAGCCTTGAAGGCATATGTACATTTTAGACGGTAAATAGAAAATGCAGATTTTTTGACTGTATACACAATGTGGAGGGCTTTTCAGGATTTAGACTTCACGAATAGAGTGATATAGCATTTGAAAATCGATTACTGGGTGTCGCTTTGCTTTATTTCAAGAGATATTTCTAAATTTTTCTACCGAATACATCAGCTTTTTTTCTTAGAAGCAGTCTGAAATAGCTGCTCAGCTACGCAAAAGCGTAAAAATTTAATTCTTGGGCGTGATTGAGCTAGATTATTTTAGAAAAGACTCTGCGCTGTACTCGTGAGTTTGGAGTAGTTCATTTTACAAAAATCTATATCAAACAGAATTTTCATGCACAGATTATAACATACATTACGCATGTTTTTGAAAAAAAAAAACTTCCTTGCATACCTGTGGAGTCAAGAAGGGCAAATAGGAAAGTCTGCGAACTTGGATTGTTGTCTTTTTACGGTGGGCATTTAAGGATTAAGCGAAGCTCTAGAGAATGAGAACATATATGCAAAAAACTGGAGAAAAGAGCTTTCGAACTTTATAAGAAGGTGTTTATAAAAAATAGCTTTTTCCTACAAAACTAGCATTTTGAAAAAAGATACAAAAAACGGGTAAAAGGTTTGAAACAACCTCATAGTGCGTTGGCTTGTTCAGATCTGTACTTCACGTCTTTGGTAGACTGTATTTTTTATGAACATTGTTCAGATCTGAAAGCTCTTTTTCTAGTTTTGCATGTAAGCTCCCGTTTTATGGAACTCTGTTTAATCCGCAATTTCACAACCTCATGCAAGTGTGAAACCTTCTCCTTGCTCCATCATAAACGGCAAAAGGCAAAAACCCTTTTGATGTGAGACCATTTGTATACTTTGCTGAAAGTGCGCTGCTAATGCTTATCAGACGAAAATTTTCGAAAAATTTTGAACCTAAAATTTTGGCATGTGACAGTGACTTGACTATGACTTATCGTAGTGGTTTTATGAGCTGTATAGATTCGTGAGCGCGATGCGATCAGAAATTTTTGGCTTTATAACAGCAAGAATAGGCCTTGTACCGGTATTTTTGGAATTTATCATAATTTTCTGCAGTGAATAAACAGAGTTTAGAAAGACAGTTCGCCATCTCAAAAACGAGGTAGATTCTTTCGACCTTACGCAAAGGCTATTGGTAAACGAGCTCATTGGAATCCGAGTTTACTACAATTGACTACACATAGAACAGAGTCTGCTATAGTACTACATCTCAAAACGAGTTATAGTCTTCCAAAGTGGGGGTTAGAGAGAATGTTTGGTCATCTTTAGAATAGGAATTCTTTATCGTAGTTGCTGCATAACTTGTGTGCGTATAGTGGTCAAGAATTCGTAGATAAAATTACATTTTACACACTCGCAATGAGTACTCCTGAAAAAATTTTATGGTGAAACGTGGTTGAGATTCGTAAAGATGCAGAGTTCTCAAAACAACCAGATAATCTATCCCGACTCGCAGTCAAGTCCATATTTTCAGGTTCCGCATGCTCGATCTGGAGCCGACAAGTTGAACGTGTTCCAGTATTTCCTTGTTGACGTCCTCTTATTCCTCGCATCTGTCGTACTACTGCTGTTTGCCACCGTCTACTACGTTACAAAAACAGCACTGAGAATTCTTATCTTGCTAGTAAGATATCCTTTCAGAAGGTCAAAAGATTCACATCTAGAAAAGCTGAATGGGAAGAAGAAGACTAACTAGAAGTTTGTCACTACTACGATTGAATTGAAATTTGTACTTATCTGTGAGAACAAGAAATGTTAATAAAGTGTCATGATGCTGATTTTAGTCGTACTTAGATTGCCTCCCGCACGTACATCCCCGCTGGGGAGGGAGGGGATCTGAGAGGGAATGGGTCAGGTCATATCCAGGGTCAAGCAAGAGGTGTGGCACACGATCGCTGGTTACGATCCCCCCCCCCCCCCCCTGATTGCTATCTTAACACGTTGACGACGAGCCATTTTTTGAAGGTCTGTCCCTGTGGACGAACCGTTTCCGGGCATTTTCACAGCCGACTGCACATATATATGCATGCATCTATGCCTGAGATACACAAATTCAAGTGGGCGGGGCAGCTCCGCCCACTTTTGGCAAGCCCCGCCCACTTCTCAAAAATGCTGGAAATTGCTCAAAATCAATGAATTAGTGCAAATTCCGGCATTTTTGAAAAGTGGGCGGAGCTTGCCACCGAGGGGGTGGAGCCTGCTTTACGGGGGGCGGGGTCAAAAATCAAGATTATTTGAGGTCCCCTGTCATCTATGAGCTTTTCTATGCGATTTGAGAACGAGGAAAGTTTTTTGTAGAGGGCAATGGAGTGGGCGGAGTTTGTCAAAAAGGGGGCGGGGCCAACATGAAGTACTTGCGAGCCTAACTTGATTATATGAACACAAATTGGAGCCATTGTGCACATTAAAACTGATGTTTAGGGTGTCGCGCACCATTGCGCGACATCGTCCACAGGGACAGACTGCCTGTCGCGCACCATTGCGCGACACCGTCGTCAACGTGTTAATAAGACCCCCCCCCCCTGAACTATATACCCAAGATAGCATTACCAGAGTTGAGAAAGAGGTCAGGCACAAGTCTTTTGAAATCCCCCCCCCCTCCCAAGAAAGCCCTCAAACGACCCCTTCTTCCTCCTCTTAACCTCTGGACCTCAGAATGTGACATTCTGGAGGACACCATCTTTTTCTAGAAAGTTTTCAGATCTCTGAGAGCTGTACGCCCGATTTTCTGTGACTGCACTTTATCACACGTAATTTGACGGCTGATTTTGATCTGAATGGGCATATTGAAAGGGCCATAATTTTCTTATGGGTGGGGCGTTCGGCTCCAAATTTCCATTGTAGCAAGAATAAGCTATGTGCTCAATACTCATACCAGCATTGGAGCGCTTTCTGGATTTTGAAGGCAAGTTAAGGGGGTGTGCCGCACCCCATCAACTATATCAAAAAAACATTTTTAGCGGACAATATTTATATGAATCGATAGCCTAAACCTTGTAGATTCCATAGAACTGTTTGGAGCCTGATTTGTCTTCTTAGCTTTAAGTAATATTTGGTGAAGGCACAGCGATCAAAAGCGAAAAATGGGAAAACGAGATTTTGGTTGGCTTCTAATTCCACAGTTTGCAGGTCTTCTGAAGCGGGATTCCTGAGTTGGACAAAGAAGGAGCAGTGCTTTGTCCTGAGTGCAAAAACGAATAGCTAATTCACCTTTGAAACAAAGTTAACCATGTTGGAATTTGACCATTTCATCTGGGTAGCCTAGTACCTTGAATTTTCAGAATTCGCTCACACTTTGTCCACAGGGGTCAATTGACATGCTAATTATGGATATTATACGAATATCATGTTATCACTATTATCAGATTACCCAACTACGACCCCCTCCCCTTTTGAGTCCTCAATACCCCCCAGGTGTGGCGTGCCGCACCCCATGCTTGACCCTGGTCATATCTCGCTACTCTAGGTATCTTTCTTCTTCCTCTCTATCCTGCTTATGAAGGTTCTCATACCCTAATTTTTATTATTCATTTATTATCCTTGCATTTTCCCAATAAGAAAAAAATTTTTTTCTTCTCGGGGTCTGCTGCTCTTGTGAGTCTCTTCCACAGCTTGCACTTTAAGGCTTGTTCTTCTAGCTTGAGCGCTCTTAAATCCGCTCTAATTTTATCTAACCATTTTAGTTTCGGTCTCCCTTTTGGGCTTTTTCCCCGTAAATCTACTGACGTGCTCGATCTGGCATTGTGGTCTTCTTCACATCTTTTCACATAGCCGTACCATTGAAGTCGCCTCTGATGCAACTTCTTGACAATTGGAGTGACCATCGTCATGGTTCGTACGGTGTCATTTGTGACATGGTCCATCATTGTGATGCTTAACGTTCATCGCAGCATTCTTGTTTCCATCATACTGAGCTTTCGCTCTTCGTTGTACGTGACAGGCCAGCGTTCGCCGCCGTACATCGCAGTCGGTCGGATCAGTACGATAGATCTGCGACTATGCGTTCTGAGGGTCTTTTTTTGCAAAAAAGTGGTTCCCCGTGATCTTTTCTGTGACTTTACATAGAATACATACAGGGCAAAATTCAGTGAACGTTGTGGGTTCGTGACTTTCGGAACAGGCACTATTCTGTCATGTTTCCAAATTTTTTGAAGTTCGCCAAATTTGAGAGAATTCGGAACCTATTGTAATAGGGACTGCTAATTATTCACTACTTTACCTGAAAACAATCTGTGAGAAAGCATCGCTGGTAATGAAGCTACAGAGATGTCTTGAGTTTTTCCGGAGTCTACTCACTTCCTCAAGGAAAAGCCAGTGGGGCTTGTGAACGTGAGTAGAAGGATGCAGTTTATTGATGTGACCAGTGCGTCGCCTCTGCTTCGCAGAGGCTCGCACTGCCTCTACTATCCATATGCCTCATTACTTTCCCATAATGATGGCATTGAAACACACCGCGCAGTGGCCGACTACCACGAATAGGATGTAAACAACCACTCATTTCAACAGCTTTTTCATGTGAGATCGGTGATTTCGCGAGGATGGAACTTTTCGCCGAAGAACAAATGCAAATTTGAGTGGGTTCCTGGATTTTTTATGGTTTGGTAGTTGCCATAAGGCCAATAGCCACCGTGAGCAACACTTCTGCGCAAAAATCTTCTCAAATGCGCCAGTAGAACGTTTTCAAATTGACCATTTACGCAACCAATCCATTTTGGCGTTATTTTCGCAAAGTAGTAGATCTTTGCCCATTATTTGGGTTAGAGTCCAAGGCTTGCACAATTACTTGTCAAACACCTCAAGAACTTCGCAAAAAGTGCTGATAGGGACCCAATTTTGTGGGTCAGAAGCGAAGTGGACCCGTTTGACGCGCAGTTTTGTGAGTTCCACTCAACGAATCCGCTCATGCTTTTGCATGGTGGAGTTTTGTGCTGGTAGCATGTGCTGTGCAAAATTTGGGCCCAGGACGTTTGCTGGAAAACGCTGCACGAATTTCGTAACAGACACACATACAAAGTCACGTAAACATCCTTAGCCCGTTATTATAAGTCATGATATTGAATTTGACTCAGATGGAGGTCGAAAATTGAAGCAATTTGTGGGATGAAGCTTCAGCTCTTTCGGCCAGCTATCACAGGATTTCCCGAGTCATCGTGTGAAATTTTGCCATATTTTGCTCTTTTAGGACCGTATGCACGCACATGCTCGCTGGGGTGAGGAGTGAATTTGAGAGGAGACGCGTCGTATCGTATTTCGCTATTCTAGATATCTGTGTTCTTCCTTTTCCGTTTGTCTTATGAAAGCTTTTATACTGTGATACCTGAGTATAACGGATGACAGAACATTGCCGCACAGGCTGAAACATTTTTGCTTCGTGTGATCCCTTGGAGATTTCCACGGAATCACCCCTTGCTTTCAAAGTCGTCTGTCGTCCCAGAAAGTCGATGAAAACGTCGTCAAGTCGTCCTAGAATCTTCTATAGCACTGCTAAGGATGTTTTCGACGCGATAAATAGATTGTGCAGGGTGCGATTTTTTCATAAACCCCAACTCGCGAACAGCTATTCATAGAACCTGAAATTCACCTAATTTCTATTGAAAACATGTTTAGCAGTGCCATAGTATATTATCGGTAGAAAAACAGTGAAAAACTCAGTATGTATTGCAATGTTCTGTCACCCATTATACTCACAAGGGAAGCTTGTTTAGTGGAGGTGGCCTCTCTAAATGGGATGTATACCATATTAAAGGGCATAAAACGCTGCCAAACCTGCCTTCTTTACCTGTAGAACGTTTAGAGACGAGGAATTATGCGCGTTTTTTGGAGCCAAAAATCAAACGTGCATTTTGAAAAAAGTGAGTTGCTGAAATCTTACTAGCCCTCAAATAATGCGGCCAAGTGTGGTATATTTTTCATTTCAAAATATTTTTGAACAAAGTGCTTTGAGATTATCACTGCTCCATTGAAGAACTAGAAAAAGTATCACGCCTATTTTTGTCCTACTTGCACATTTAATTTTTCGCTCCAATAAGTGCTCATAACTCCTCGTCCTTAAACGTTCTGCAGATAAGGAAGGCAGGTTTGGAATCAGCTTTAAGCCCTTTAATATGGTATACATCACATTGAGAAAGGCCACTTCGACTAAACATGCATTCCTTGTCAGATATTAGAATATTGAACATTCATAGATAGATAGAAAAAATGAAACAGTACATATAATAGCAAGGTATGACTCGTTCTCTCCCAGATCTCCTTCATTCTCCCGAAAAATAAGTGCAGACCTTAGAAATAGACGAGTGTGTGTATGCAGTGAAGTAACATTCAATTAAAATGAATATTTCTGCTTATAAGTACCGTAATTCGCAGTATGTCTAGAAGTTCATCACGGACTTTTTTTACAATTATGTGGCCGCAAAGGGCACGGCGAGGTGAATAAGGCCCGTATGCACACCCCCGCGGGGAGGGGAGGGGATTTGAGAGGGGATGAGACATATCTCGCTGTCCTGGATATCCTTCTTCTTCGTTCTATGTCTGAGTTATGAAGGCTCTCACACCCCTGATACCTGCGCATAATGGACGCCAGGTTACTGCCATACAAGATCAGATTCTCACTGTTTTTGATCCCCTGGAGATCCCTAGAGGATCACTTCTCATTTTCGAATTCATTTTTCTTTTTAACTCAATGAAAACGTTGTAAAATTGTGCTGGAGATGATGCAGCACTGCTAAATATGAGTATTGTAGAAATAAGTGAAATGTCAGGATATCGAAATCTTCGATGAACCACGTGCTCGCGAGATAGGGATTATCGAAAAAAAAACACACATTCTTCAGATTCTATCTCTCCTGTCAAAAATATGCTTTAACAGTGCCGTAGGATACCTCAGTACAAATTGCAGCCTTTTCGCTGAAAT